TTTATATACTTAAAAAAAGTAAATGCATATTAAGAAAATTTAAACAAAGTCATATGTATGGATGGTAACAGGCTCCATAGGGCTGGGGTTGGGTGAAGGGGGGGCGGGGGCCGGGGTCTCTTCATCCCCATCCCCACAAATCACGAGAACGGAAATCTTTACGGAAATTTTGGATAAGTGGTAAAATTTGCCCCCCATCTTTGTTACTTGTAGGGAATGGCTCCTCACAAGAATTTCCCTTCTTTTGTCAATTTATATTATAAAATTAATTTAATTATTTTTATTTTATTATTTTAAAATAAAATATTTTAAATAGTTAGGTTAAAATAAAAATAAAATGTTGGATTTGGTTGGTTTAGAATAATAATTGGACTTTAATATTAAATTAATATTATGAATGAATAATGAGTATGCACATGACTATAGGATAAATATTTAAATTGTGTTGGATTTAATATTTTTAATTTTTTTAATATTTCATGGAGAACGAGGACCCTCATAGACCTACAAGGCTAAAAAAATTTCCTACAAAATTTCACAATAAAAGTTACTTCCCATTCTCGCGTTGCTTTACCCTAATAGCAGAGATCCCATGGAACTCCAAAGAAATGAAGGAAAATTGCCATCCTTACTCATATATATCATCAACCAAATAATGGTACATGAGGAAACATAAATTAATTATAAAAGGAGAGCAATCAAACAAAATTCCTTCACAAGTGCAATACAAAATGTAAAATTTTGTATTGCAATTGTGAGGGATAGTGTAATACAAATTATCTTCTTAAATCTTTTTTAAAAGATTTATTTAAAATTTTATTTTTTAATTAATATTTTTAAAAAACTAACGGTTGATTTCAAAGTTTTATTTATATAAATCATGTATATTAATTTTTATATTAATTTAATATTTATAATATCTTAATAAAAAAAACTATATTTATTAATATATATTTAACAATGTTAAATATGTAATTAACAAATTCGTTAGACCTACTAAATCAGTATAAAAATTTACACGTATGATCTATATTAATTTAACAATTAATTTTTTAAAATATTAATTAAAAAATAAACTTTATTGGGCTTCGCGGTCTCTCCCCCCAGTTTCCATCTTACCAGTAGGTCCAATACTGTTCTTTACTTTCTTCCTATGTTGAGCATATAAAAGCCCATGAGGGATCTTCTTGTTGTTGCTGGTTTTCATTAGACGAAAAACAAAATCTTGTTGCTTTTATATGCCGAATGGAATATTTGTTGTATCACATTAACCTTCAATTTTGACACCAAGTTTTTGGTTTATTTTATGGAAATTTTGATACCACGTTATATAGTTTGAATCATTTCGGGTGAATATTTTTTTATTCAAAAAATTTGGGATTTTGGAGAGTGCCATGAGTTCAATCTTGATCATTTGGATGAAACACTCGCTAAGTGATCACCAATGCTAGAGACTAAGAACTTCAAATATATCAAACTTTTGAGAGAATGAGATTGAAGAATGAATGGATTAAGTATTTTTTCAAGCCACCCAAATTAATGATGTACCTAGGAATTCAAACGGAAAGAAAAGTGTAAAATGGTGTTTTAAATATATTTATTTTTTAAATTGAGGGTGATTAATTGCTTTTGTTAATCTTGATAAAAATGTTTACTTTTACTAATATTATAAATATTTATATAAAACGTAAAAATTAATTTTAATTTT